CAATTTTTCTCATAATTCCATTGGTGTAATTGTTGCATTATAGTTGCTCATCTTGAACCTTTTAAAGATGTCTTGAGCATACTTCTTTTGGTGTAAGAACACTCATTAACTTGTGTCTTTAATTTCCATTCCTAAGAAATATGACAAGTTTCCCAGGCCGAATATTTCAAATTCCTGCATCAGTTCATTCTTGACCCTTTTCATCTTTACCTCATCTGCACATTTGATCAGCAAGTCATCCACATATAAATATATAATGATTCGACTATTCTTGTATACTCTATTAACATGTATTTTATGCTCTGAAACACATTTTGTGAAACCTAACTTGATAAGGAAGTTATCTATTCTTTTATTCCAAGCTCTTGGGGCTTACTTTAAGCCATATATAGCCTTCCTCAATCTATACACCTTCAGTTCATGCCTTTTGATTTTGAATCTAGGTGGTTGACTGAAATAGACTTTTCTTCTAATGTTCCATTCAGAAATGCAGACGTTACATCTAATTGATATATCTTCCATCCTTTGTATGCTGCAGTCGACACATCAATTCTAGTAATCTCCAATTTAGCAACATGTAGATAAACTTTGTTGAAGTTAATACTAGGTTTTTGTAGAAAACCTCGTGCCTCTAATTATTCCTTATGATTGGAAATTATACCATCTGGCCTTAATTTCAACTTGTAGATCCATATCACATTAATTGGCTTCTTGGTTTACTTTTCGACAAGCTCTCAAGTCTTGTTCTTCTCGATCATCCTGGGTTCTTTTTTCATGGCTACCAACCAATTTGAATCATTCATGGTTTGATCCAAATCAATTGGTTCTGATTCAGGCATTATCTTGACTTCTTCTATGAAGTCACCATATGTATTGATTACTTTATTTGGGAATCTCTCATATCCAGCTAGCCTTGTTGACTTAGTTTTGTTCTAGCAGATCTTCTAATATTCTTCTCAAATGGTTCTTCATTTCGAGTGGTTGTGACTTTCGTTTGTTGGTCTTTTTCAAGCACAATTGTGATTGTATCTTGCTCATGTCAAACTGACCCCTGAATCCAATTCCACCATTGTCTTTCGTCCAAAAGAACATCCCTATTGATCATTAGTTCATCATCATAAGGTGAATACAACTTGTACGTACCAATCAAATGATAGCCTATGATCACCATGACTTGATTTCAATCATATATCTTCCTTATCAATTGCTCAAGTACATACCTGAAGCACATTGATCCAAATACTCTAAGATGACTAACATTTGTCTTTCGTCTTGTCCAAGCCTCATAAGGTGTCTTTTGTCTTATTTTCTTGGTTGTAAATTTGTTGAGTATGTACACTGTTGTCGAAACTACTTCTCTCCAAAATCTCTTTGGCATTTCTTTGGCTTTCAATGTACTTTGGCCATGTTCAGTATACTTCTGTTTTCCCTCTCAGCTATACCATTATTTTATGGTGTATAGGGTACAAGGACCTTATGCTCTATACCTCCCTCATTGCAAAATAATGAAAATTCCATAGAGGTGTATTCAACTCCACCATCAGTTCTCAGTTTCTTATTGTTACACTCACTTTGTTTTTCGACATGCAACTTAAACTTCTTAAACTAAGTGAATACCTCACTCTTCCTTTCTATAAGATAAATCCACATATATGAAAGTTAGTAAATAAAAATTACCTCCATTTGATATGAATTCTAAAGGATCACGCACATCAGAGTGAAAAAGTTATAGCTGTTATGTCGACTTCATGGACAAGTCATGTTTGAATGCCTTCATATCTTGCTTTTCTTTACAACACTCTTCACACAGCTGACTTGGTTCATTCACTTAAGGTAGGCCATACACCATATTCTTCAAGTTATGCATACCTAGACTTATGAAGTTTAAGTTGCCCATACATGTGATGCTACAGTCATTCTTTGTCCCCACTGACATTTGAAATCAAACATTGATGGTAAGTCATGTTGATCTCTACTTTGAAGGTCTTGTTGTCTACTAGTGGCGCTTTTAGGACCATCCTTCCATCATCATCATACACTTTCATCTGATTCGTTTCCATCTTAACGTTGTACCCTTTTGCAAGTAATTGACATATGCTTATCAAATTACTTGCCATTAAAGGTACATACAATACATTAGTGATACTGGCCTTCCGACCATCCTTTCTAACCATAAATATTTTTCCTTTTCTACCTGATGTGACATGCATACCATTTATAAACTTGATCACTTTCTTAACCGATTCATCTAACTTGATGAGCTAGTTTTCATCTGTGTTATCTCAAACTCTTTTCTCGTCATTAACAAGATTTTTCCTCTACTTCACCTTTTCTTTTCCAGACTTCTAGATGAATATTGCTTGATGTGTCTGTTCCGTAACTTTCTTTCTTTTTGAGTTTCTTTACTTCAATCTCATCCCACGAGCCTCTAATGAAGCTTGAAGTTCTTCAAACTTCATCTCAGCTAGGTTATTGGATTCCTCGATACACACTACAATGTAATCAAAGCTTGTAGCCAGGGATCTCAACACCTTCTAGATCTTTTGCAAATCATTGATTGATTCACTACACGCCTTCATCTAGTTGATGAGTAACACTAATCTTGAGAAGAAATCAACAACTAATTCATCTTCTTTCACTTGTGTTATCTTAAACTCCTTTCTCAACAACTGCAACTTCACCCTTTTTAATTTTTCATCTCCACCGTACAAGTTCTTTAACTTGTCCCACACTTCTTTGGACGTCTCTTCTTCAATAATCTTCTCGAGCACATTAGGATCCACACATTGATGGATCAAGAAAAGAGTTTTTCTATCTTTCTTCCGTTGTTCTCTGTGCGTAGCCTTTTGAACATCACTTGTGTTCGCTTTCAATGTAAATACTCCATCACACACGATTCCAGCTACATCTTGAAACCTAAAGATGACATTCATTGTGCAACCCACTCTCATATTTCTCACCTTTGATAACCAGTAGATTTTCAGGAAATTGCATTGATATTATGTTTTTGTTTTTCAATGTTAACTGAATCACACCGACCACATTGATACCATTCGTTTGAGCAATTAGGTTATTCGAAAATGAAGAATTAAAGAGAGTAATGTGATAATTTTGTATTGAAAAGAGTTAGTTAAGATATATTCCGTTTTACATGATCTCATGTCTATTTATAGAAAATTAATATATTTGACTTATTACATAATATATTAAATTCTATCAAATATATGTTAACATATTTCGACAAAAACAACTATATATTATATTTGAATATGTCGAATACAAATAACTAACCTCGATTATGTCGAATACAAATTTAGTAAAACAATTGATTACTAGCTTCTAACATTAATAAATTTTTAAAACTTTTTATAACCAAACACACCATTACTAATTAAAATGAACACTTTAATAATTTTGTGTGTGATATTTTCTGGTACTGACCTATGGGATAGGGAACTATTTAGCAGGTATAGGTGGACCACGTTCGTGTGGTTGAGTCTTAGCCGCATAAATGGACTGTAGTATCCGTGATTAGTTCAAGCTATAGTGCACAACTGTAAGAATGCCAATTTTTAACAAACAAGTCATCTGCGATCCATGAAGGAGAGATGTGTTAGGCCTCTCTCTCATGGCATGTTTCCTATTTCAAATAAGCTGATTTTACACGCTTTTGTGGTGATACACACAGTTTTGAAATGCCAGAAATGGACTAACCCATAAGCGATTATTAGATCTCATGAGTTTGTGCAAAAATATCAAACTCTATGAATCTTTTAGTACTAATTAGATTGCCTAAAATTTAATGCTATTTATGATTTGGATATATGTTGTTCATAAGGTTAGGTAGCAAAAGAATGCCAATGGTACAAACCATATTATTCTTAATTTGGCTAATTTTATCTCGTTGTACTTACTATATTAATTTTTTTGGGTGCAATTTAAGCTTTTTAATCACTAAAAGTTGAACTCGTTTTTTTAATAATTTGAAATTTTATATTTTAAAAATGAATATGTGATCTGTTGTGAGTTAAAACTCACACTTGTATTGATGTCTTAATAAAACTATCCATTGACATTACAAAATTATACTATCTGCAATCCTAGATATATATTTTTATACAACTCTATTTTAATTTTAAAGTGTATTAATAATTTTTTTTATACCTATATACATTTCATAAAGTTGCATTTTGTTTTACAATTAATTTTAAATATTTTTATATTAAATATTAAATGATTATCTTTCATCATAAATTTGTAAAATTATACAAATAATCAATAAATTTTTTACTTCAACCAATTTATTTTAATTTCTCTTAAAATTTTTTAAAGAAAATTTTAATACAATTTCTTAAATATGATTTGTACTATTTTCTAATGAAAATATAATAAATATATATTTTTATATTGCATGTGTGTAAAAGGAAATTATATATATACTTATCATATTTCCATTAAAAATAGATAAAACAATGTTTTTACTATTTTATAGTAAGTGTGATGCATGAGAATACTTTGATATACTTAAAAAAAGGATATGTTACTAAATTGTTAAATATAATGTTTTCAATATCTAATTTTAGGCGGAAATAAACTGTGTTTATGTTCAACTTCAAGATAAAAATATTATATTTGAAAATTTAAGATAACCCTTTAATAATAAAAAAAGTACAAATATCAGATATATTTATTAACCTGAAGTTCTGATCAACGTTACCGGGTCCACCCCTCTTCATACCCAATCCAATTTTTTTCTCAAAAATAAAAAATAAAAAATAAAAAATAAAAAACTCCAACAATAATTAAGCAAGTGAAAACTAAGCCAGTGTGAAAAGGGTGGAGAGAGAAGAAGCAATAGTAGAAAGAAGAATCTACTAAAAAAGGAACCAACATTTCTTCTTCTTTTCTCATCTCCACACACTACAACACCACAAAACCTTCTCATCCTGACTCAAATTCCCTCCATCTTCTCTCTTTCCATAACGGACTTCGCCGGAGACATGACCGGCGGCGGATCGTCGGGGAGGTTACCGACATGGAAAGAGAGAGAAAACAATAAGAGAAGAGAGAGAAGACGAAGAGCTATTGCTGCTAAGATCTATTCAGGTCTTCGAGCTCAAGGTAACTTCAAGCTTCCTAAACACTGTGATAACAACGAGGTTTTGAAAGCTCTTTGTTCTGAAGCTGGATGGATCGTTGAAGAAGATGGAACTACTTATCGAAAGGTGGATATGTTCAAACTCAAACTCAATCTCAGATCTAGTTTAATTATGCTTTGAAATTTGGATTTACTTTGTTTAATTCTCTGTTTTACTTGCTTTTTTGGCCTGATCTAGTTCAGTTTCAGTGAATTTGTTGTGTTAATTGAAATTGAAGCTTTGAATTGATCTTATATTAACCTAGGTTTTTTAATTTTGTGATTTAAGTTGTTTTAGTTTAACTAAATTAATTAGTTTCTTGAGCTTGTTGGTTAATTTCCTTTATTAGGATCTTTGACCTTTAATTAGGTAGTTTGATTTGATTCCATTTTGTTCTTATGTTGCACTATAATGTTTACTTGGCGAAACTGATTTCTGCATAATGCAATATAAATTACTAAATTGGAAGAAATTAATGTTAATTATTTTTTTTTTTGGAGAATTGTTGATGTGAAGTGTTGTAGAAAGTTTTGATTCTTGTGCATAGGCTAATATGAGTTAATGAATTTGGAACAGGGAAGTAAGAGACCACTGCCAAATGAGATTGGAGGAACTCCGCCGAATATGAGTGCTTGTTCTTCGATTCAACCTAGTCCACAATCTTCTTCGTTTCCGAGTCCACAATCCTCTTCGTTTCCGAGTCCAATACCATCCTACCATGCAAGTCCAACTTCGTCGTCTTTCCCGAGTCCAACTCGAATGGATGGAATTACAAACCACTCTTCCTTTCTCTTACCATTCATTCGCAACATAACTTCTATCCCTACAAATCTTCCACCCCTTAGGATTTCCAACAGTGCTCCGGTTACTCCACCTCTTTCTTCTCCAAGAAGTTCGAAGAGAAAAGCAGATTTCGAATCCCTCTCTAATGGTTCTTTTAACTCCTCATTTCGCCATCCTCTTTTCGCTACCTCTGCACCGTCAAGCCCCTCGCGTCGTAACCACTTACCCCCATCCACCATTCCGGAATGTGATGAGTCAGATGTTTCAACAGTGGACTCTGGTCGATGGGTTAGTTTTCAGACAACTGCCCATGGTGCAGCTCCTCCTTCCCCTACTTTTAATCTCATGAAACCAGTAATGCAGAAGATTACTCCACAGGGTTCGATGGATATGATTCATATGAATGAAGGCATGCAATGGACTTCAGGTTCAGCCGCTGAGAGATGTAGAGGCTCAGATTTTGACTTTGAGAATGGAAGAGTCGTGAAGCCGTGGGAAGGGGAGAGAATTCACGAGGTAGGAATGGATGAATTGGACCTTACTCTGGGGTTTGGTAAGGCTTGATGATGATCAAAACACATTTGTGTTCTACATTATACACCGTTTGAAAAACCAAAGATTCAATTGCAATTCCTCAAAAAGTGTGCCTGCCTATCTGGGCGAGCAAGGACATTGCATGGATCTGCTATTTCTGCATTGGTCAGGGAAATTCCAAATTGGGTGTTATGCTCTATTTTCCTTGTGTACAGTTCTTTTTATATAGCTGTGGTTAGTGGTTACTCTATAAAATTTGACTTCAATTGTAATGCCTTGTTTATTGTTGAAGAGTTGCATTTCCAGCAACCTTAAGGAAGTATTTTGAGACTTGAATCTTACCAAGATCAAGGGAAACAAGGTGATACTCTTGCTTCTCTTACTGATGACATTTTGACATTTTTCTTCATCTTGATAATTCATTACACTGCTGAGCATCCAACTAAGTTTTTGTATTGTGTGTTAGTTATGGCTATAAATAGTTTCACGTTGTTTGACCTATCCTTCATCTTCTAAGTTTGCTTTATTGGCCTTACTGCATTATTGTTTTAATTTATATGTTGATTAAGTGGTTTTCTATAAAGGATCTTGATTATTGCTATGTTGTTTAAACTAATTTTTTTTTAGAATAAGGAAAGAAAATAAGGGAAATGTTAGTAGGAAAAAAGAGACATAAAATAATTGGATGATTAGCATGGTTTGACAATGAAGTAAAATAAAAGTAGATTTTTCTACTTGCTTATTTAATTGGTTTGAGAAGTTAGAAGAACGATAATGGATGTTGTTTTGGGCCGCCATAAGGTCCAAAAGGCGAAGTCCAATACAGATGCTGTGTAAGCGGACAATACGCAGAAAAGGTGAAATTCATTTTCTCTTCTAATCAGGTGAGTCCATCCGCGAAGTATATCCTAGCCTTCCAGATCAATTTGACAGTTGATTGTGTTTTATGCCCTTACACACATTTAGTTGATAACCAATCCTCCTATTTAAAGATTGGATTGTGCTATTTCTCTAATATTGAATCTCTTATTCATTCAAATTTTATTTTTTATTCTTTTATTAACTTGAGCGTTAGAGTATTAATTTTGTAGGTCAACTCCTTTTTCATCCTATCGGAATCTTGAATCACTGCAACATACCACTGGTTCAATCTATATGATCACCACTTAGTTCTAGAGTATAACATTGGCGTCGTTGGTAGGAATCAACCTTTGATTCTTATGATATCCACAATCCATCATTTTTGGATTTCAGTAAATCAAATATAGATTTCCTTCCTTTAGAGTGAGGATTTCCGTCTCTAAGTTAATTTCATCAAGTTTGGAGTTGAACTCTTTCCACCAAATCCATCTGGTGACGGTAGCGTTAAAGGCCATTTGTTCCGCCGTTCAACGGTAAACAGTTACAACCGCTGAAGTGGCTAAGAATCCCCCTTTTCCTCATCTTTCTCCTCGAAGGACAGATGACAAAGTTGTCATAACTATTTATTCTTTTCCTTCACTTCTGAATTTAACCTAGCCTAGGACGGATCAACAGACTTCTCAAATTTCTTCATTCGTTAGATCCATTCCATAATTTCATCTAAGAGAATCGTCCTTTAGACCTATGGTATCATATGTTGTAACTAGGAAAGAAAGGAATGAAGAAGAAGCTCACACTCTACCACGAAAGAAGAACCCCCTATCTGTCCTTTTGATGGACGACATGATCCCAAGGTCTTTGGAGAAATCTCCAAAGGTGTAGAGCTACTACAAAAATGGAGACCCAGAAGAAATCATAGATTCTTGGTATGAACTATGCGAGGCTTTTACCTCCTACTTTACCGCCACGAAAAGACAACCGACCACCAAGGTTGTCCTTAGCGGGGTTATACAGGGTAAAAAGGAAACCATTCGTGCATACATCGATTGCTTCACCAAGGTGGCTTATATGAAAAACTAAAGTGCTGGATCTTTGAGAAAGGTCTTAGACGAGATTGTACATTCAGAGAGAAATTAGGATACAAGGAGGCTTACAACATGAAGGGCTTACTGAATAAAGAGTAAACATGCATTAATTATGAAGAGAATGTGCTGAAGGAAGGAGGTAGTCGATTGGGGGGGGGGGGCGAGAAATGTCAGATCTAGTCGAGCGATAAACAAGGATTCTAGGTGATCCAAAAAGGACAACAAACGAAGCCCTCACTCAAAATTTGACTTCTACATTCCCTTGAACACCTCACGAGAAAGGATCTTGACGTATTGTACTAATACAAAATTCAAAGATGCTGGAATAAGAAACCCCTATCCGGTTACAAGATTCGCTCGAATCAGCAAGTCTAAATACTACCGTTTCCACAATAGTCATGACCACACACCAATGTCAACATACAACTAGAAGATGAAATTGATGGATTGATCAAGAAGGGGCGACTGTCTGAATACACCAAAGTTTGTAGGAGGGCCGACGAAGGTTGTTAAAGTGATAGCCAATGACAAAGGTAAAGAAACAAACAACGAAGAAGAAAGGCAGAAGGGGATGTTCTAGTATATCGCTTCCATAATGATAAGAACCCCTCAAATGAGCAACTCGTCCAAGAGTATGATAAAGAGAAAAATGTCGAGCTGATAGTTATCGCCAATGACAAAGGAGTTACGTTGATCATGAATTCGAGAAGGGATATTCTCGGGTTCTGAGATAGTGAGAAATTCGGAGAAATCCCAAATGAAAATCTCCCCTTAGTAGTGAGAACAACCATCACTAGCTTTGATGTTTCCAGGATACTGATTGACGGAGGCAGCTCTTGCAACATAATGCATGTGAATATCTTTGAAAAAATGGGTTTGAAGAAAGAAAAATTACAACCCTACGATGGATTAGACCTTTAAGCTTTCAACGACATAGTACCCGCCCATGGAGATATACATAGAGCTAATGGTAACCGTAGGGGAAGGAAGATATACCAAGACTATTGACTCACAGTTTTTGGTTGTTCCTTGCAAAAGCATCCTAGGACGACCATTTGCGGAAACGATGGACGAGTATCTTCCCTAGTTTATCATAAGGTGAAATATCATAATGTATAGGATGAGCTAGTTACAGTCAACACCAACTTGTCACAAGCAAAAAAGATTTACCAAGCTTTGCAGTAAGATAAAAAATAAGGTGAAACCCGAGCCATGGAAATTAATGTGGTCTCATTAATTGAGCAGCTTAATGATATGACTATCCAACCCTCCTTTCATCAGGAAGACACGCCACTAGACCATAAAAATGGCTAATTCGAGGAAGATCGGAGACAATTCCCACCAACCTCGTGGCGAACAAGCGGTGGCATAAACACCTAGTTATGTTGAATTTATATTTCTTTTTGTTAAGAAAAAATTGTGATGTATTATAATCTTGTAAGTAAGGAAAGAAATTCACTAAATCGTATTTTCTTTTGTGGCCATGGAAGCTAACGGTGAGTTTGGGGTACAATAAGAAGGATCGAAGCCCCATCGCAAAAACTCGGGGGTGTTGTCACACATGCCACTAGTATATGACTAAAGCAAACAAAACCCCATGACGCCAATGCAAACACACAACAAAACCAAGCCTAAAAAATGGCAAAAAAAATGGCTCACCCCCTCTTGGTAGCTAGCCACTCTATAGACTGTTGGGTTTGAATATAGACTAATAATGGTCTAGAGGGAAGGGGGTGAATAAACCTCCCAAGATAAAACTTTCATTTGAAAAGAAATTTTATTAGAGTTTCAAAAATAATGTGTTTCGCCTGGTTGAAGCAAAGTTTGCGTAAAAAGAGATTATGCTTATTGACCAAAAGTTTTATGAGTGTCCTTAAACAGTTCACGACAATCAAGTTGAACTATTCAATTGCACCCAAAATTATAAACTAATTGTATTACAAAATCACTCAATTTCACAATATGTGATATTGAATATTTTTAATACAAGTAAGATTCTACTATCAACGTTTTCAGACTTAATCCACAATCAGACAAGGTTGAGTTTCCAATTCTAACAAAACTAAAACTTATACAACAAATCACTACCAACTGATAAATCTATCAACATGCGATTCTTGAAAGAAATAATATCAATCTTATCATGTAATAAACTAATAAATTAAATGTGTGTGTGTGTGAGAGAGAGAGAGATGTACACCGAGATTTATAATGGTTTGACACATTTGTCCTCGCTTTATGCTTAATTAGGGATGACAACGGGGCGGGGGCAGGTTTAACTATATCTGCACCCGCACTCGCCCCCATGTAACACACCCGTCCCCACCCCCAACCCAATTCGGGGGTAAAAATTACCGTCCAGACCTGCCCCAGTAGAGAACGAGTGCACCCGCCCCGCCCCCACCCGAAAAAAAATTAAGTTTTTTTAATTGTAATAAAAATTAATAATTTAATTAATAATTTAATTAATAATTTAATTAAAAAATTAATTATTTTAATAAATAAATTAATTATTTAATTAAATTTTTAATTAGTAAATGAATATTAACTTAATTAATTAATTTATTTTAATTGCAATAAAGGTATTAATAATTTAATTAAAAATATAATTAATAAAGTAATTAAAAAAATTAGTTAAGTGTAATTAATTTTTTTGGTTTCATATACAATTAAAGTAAAATTTATTATAATATCCTTAGTTATATTTGATGAATCAACTAACAACATTAAATGCTATTGAATTAAATTAGAGATATAAAAGTAATACAATCATTAATTACTTTGAAAGTTAATAATTTTTTTGCTTATAAGAGTGACCAAAATTTAAAACCATTTTTTTTGCTTATAATAGCAATCAAAGGGAGTACTATTTTCACCACTCCCAATACTAGTAATGGTTAATTTGTTAAAAATATACTTCTCTCTTTTATTATTATACTTTTTTTAATTTGTGTACAATGATCAACTAAATCACTCATTGTAGGACAAAAGGAACGCTAAATTATAATCCTACAACTTTTCTAATAAAAATTCTCCTCCAAATTTATAATGATAATATTAATAATAAATTTCTTAAAATTAAAT